CACCACCCACACACCATCCACACCACCCACACACCATCCACACCACCCACACACCGCCCACACCACCCACACACCGCCCACACCATCCACACCACCAACACACCGCCCCCACACCACCCACACCATCCACACACCATCCACCATCCACACCACCCACACACCGTCCACACCACCCACACCACCAACACACCACCCACACCACCAACACACCATCTACACCGTCCACACCATCCACACCACCCACACACCATCCACACACCGCCCCCGAAAGTTGAGAGAGAGAGACGGGGCGGATGGGAGCGTGAGATTGGGATAGCCATGTCTAGCTCGGCTCTGCTGAGGGGGTTGTGTGGGTAGCTGATGGATAGTTTGTGGTGAGGAGGGGCAGGTGGGTGGGTGGTCAGAGCGGTGGGTTAGAGGTAGAGTGGTGGGTGGGAGCTAGAAGGGTGGGTGGGTGGGTAGGAGGTAAAGTGGTTGGAGGGTAGGAGGTAGAGGGGTGGGTGGGAGGTAGAGTGGTGGGAGGTAGTGGTGGGTGGGTGATAGAGGGGTAGATCCACAGATTCCCGTGTGTGTGTGTGTGTGTCTGTTAGTGTGTGTGTGCCTCTGTGTAGCAGTTAGCGCGCTCCGCTATGAACCTGACGACCCGGGTTCGATTCCCGCTCACGGCCAACACCAGTGACGATTATCTGAACCGGTCCCGGGCCTCCCCTAGGTCGACTCAGCCTCAAATGAGTACCTGGTGCAGTGTGTAAACATTGCCACTCGGGAGACAAAGGCGGTCGGGCGTGGTGCTGGCCACCCACCCCCTCGTGTACCGTTCCGGCCTTCATCGGTGCTCGCTAACAGCACTTGCCCCTACAGTCTGTTACAGGCTATATGGGGGATCTTTGTCTGTGTGTGATCCCTTCGTAATCTCAACCGACTCTCCCTATCACTACCTCCCGTGCCCACCAGTCCACTCACACCGCATGCAGCCTCCCCAACAATACAACTCATTAGTATTGTTAGAGCAATAATACAACTCATGAGTATTGTTAGAGCAATAATACAACTCATTAGTATTGTTAGAGCAATAATATAACTCATTAGTATTGTTAGAGCAATGATACAACTCATTAGTATTGTTAGAGCAATAATACAACTCATTAGTATTGTTAGAGCAATAATACAACTCATTAGTATTGTTAGAGCAATAATACAACTCATTAGTATTGTTAGAGCAGTAATACAACTCATTAGTATTGTTAGAGCAATAATATAACTCATTAGTATTGTTAGAACAATAATACAACTCATTAGTATTGTTAGAGCAATAATACAACTCATTAGTATTGCTAGAGCAATATAACAACTCATTAGTATTGTTAGAGCAACAATACAACTCATTAGTATTGTTAGAGCAATAATATAACTCATTAGTATTGTTAGAGCAATGATACAACTCATTAGTATTGTTAGAGTAATAATACAACTCATTAGTATTGTTAGAGTAATAATACAACTCAGTATTGTTAGAGCAATAATACAACTCATTAGTATTGTTAGAGCAATAATACAACTCATTAGTATTGCTAGAGCAATATAACAACTCATTAGTATTGTTAGAGCAACAATACAACTCATTAGTATTGTTAGAGCAATAATATAACTCATTAGTATTGTTAGAGCAATGATACAACTCATTAGTATTGTTAGAGCAATAATACAACTCATTAGTATTGTTAGAGCAATAATACAACTCATTAGTATTGTTAGAGCAATAATACAACTCATTAGTATTGTTAGAGCAATAATACAACTCATTAGTATTGTTAGAGCAGTAATACAACTCATTAGTATTGTTAGAGCAATAATACAACTCATTAGTATTGTTAGAGCAATAACACAACTCATTAGTATTGTTAGAGTAATAATACAACTCATTAGTATTGTTAGAGTAATAATACAACTCAGTATTGTTAGAGCAATAATACAACTCATTAGTATTGTTAGAGCAATAATACAACTCATTAGTATTGCTAGAGCAATATAACAACTCATTAGTATTGTTAGAGCAACAATACAACTCATTAGTATTGTTAGAGCAATAATATAACTCATTAGTATTGTTAGAGCAATGATACAACTCATTAGTATTGTTAGAGTAATACTACAACTCATTAGTATTGTTAGAGTAATAATACAACTCAGTATTGTTAGAGCAATAATACAACTCATTAGTATTGTTAGAGCAATAATACAACTCATTAGTATTGCTAGAGCAATATAACAACTCATTAGTATTGTTAGAGCAACAATACAACTCATTAGTATTGTTAGAGCAATAATATAACTCATTAGTATTGTTAGAGCAATGATACAACTCATTAGTATTGTTAGAGCAATAATACAACTCATTAGTATTGTTAGAGCAATAATACAACTCATTAGTATTGTTAGAGCAATAATATAACTCATTAGTATTGTTAGAGCAATGATACAACTCATTAGTATTGTTAGAGCAATAATACAACTCATTAGTATTGTTAGAGCAATAATACAACTCATTAGTATTGTTAGAGCAATAACACAACTCATTAGTATTGTTAGAGTAATAATACAACTCATTAGTATTGTTAGAGTAATAATACAACTCAGTATTGTTAGAGCAATAATACAACTCATTAGTATTGTTAGAGCAATAATACAACTCATTAGTATTGCTAGAGCAATATAACAACTCATTAGTATTGTTAGAGCAACAATACAACTCATTAGTATTGTTAGAGCAATAATATAACTCATTAGTATTGTTAGAGCAATGATACAACTCATTAGTATTGTTAGAGTAATAATACAACTCATTAGTATTGTTAGAGTAATAATACAACTCAGTATTGTTAGAGCAATAATACAACTCATTAGTATTGTTAGAGCAATAATACAACTCATTAGTATTGCTAGAGCAATATAACAACTCATTAGTATTGTTAGAGCAACAATACAACTCATTAGTATTGTTAGAGCAATAATATAACTCATTAGTATTGTTAGAGCAATGATACAACTCATTAGTATTGTTAGAGCAATAATACAACTTATAATACAACTAATTATAATAATACAACTAATTATGATTGTTATAATACAACAATTTTTGTTATAATAAAAATTATTGTTATGATGTAAAAATACAAATTTCAAGGTTTAACAGAGGGGTTGGGGTTGAGCGGTGACGCAATCATGCCTGATGACGTCATCGCGGCCGGCGCGCGTCGTGACGTCACCGCCCAAAGGGACCCAGGGCGGTGACGTCACTGCGTTTTTCCCGTGATTGGGGGCGTGACGTCACCACGCACCCACGACCCCCCGCCCTCCCGCGCGCTTATCGGAATTCAGTGGAGGGGGGGGGTGTGTCCGTATGCGTAGTGACGTCACCGCGTGCGTGGTGACGTCTCCACGCATTCGGACCCGCGCGTTCGTAATTTAATCGTGTGGGGCGGGTAACGGGTCCGAATGCGTCGTGACGTCACCACGCACCCACGACCCCCACCCTCGCGCGCTCGTAATTTAATGGAGTGCGGGGAGGGGTGGTGTGCGACTGCGTGGTGACGTCACCACGTACGCGTGCGTGATGGCGTCATCACGCAACCCACCCCTATCACGTTCACTCGTCGGAATTAATGGTAGGGGGGTGGGGCGGAGAACGGTCGGAATACGTGGTGACGTCACCCCGCACACGAGAGGGAGAGAGGACGTGGTGACGGCACCCCGCACACGGGAGCGCGTGAGGGAGGGGGGAGAGCGAGGACGTGGTGACGTCACCACGCACACGGAAGCGAGTGGGGGAGAGCGAGAACGTGGTGACGTCACCACGCACGGGAGCGCGAGAGAAAGGGGGGAGAGCGAGGACGTGGTGACGTCACCACGCACCCGGGTGAGGGAGAGGAGAGCGAGAACGTGGTGACGTCACCACGCACACGCGCGTGCGTGCTGACGTCGCCACGCACGCGGCGTCTTGTTTACCTGGCCCTTGAATCCTTAAGCGTTTCCACCACCAACCACAACCACCATCATCAACCACCACCATCATCACCATCATCATTACACACCACCACCATCAACCACCACCATCATCACACCACCACCATCATCACACACCACCACCATCATCACACACCACCACCCACCACCATCATCACACACCACCACCCACAACCAACCACCACCACAACCACCATCACACACCACCACCATCACACACCACCAACCACAACCACCACCATCATCACACACACCACCACCATCATCACACACCACTATCAACCACCACCGCCATCATCACACACCGCCATCATCATCACACACCACCACCCACAACCAACCACCACCACAACCACCATCACATACCATCACACACCACCATCACCCACCACCACCATCATCAACAACCACCAACCACAACCACCATCATCCACCACCATCATCACCCACCACCCACAACCACCACCATCACCCACCACCCCCATCACCCACCACCATCACCCACCACCCCCATCACCCACCACCATCACCCACCACCCACAACCAAATACCACCACCATCACATACCACCACAACCACCACCACCCACAACCACCACTACCACCATCACCCACAACAACCACCACCACCATAACATCCTCAGCTCCCGGGAGCGGGCGGACCCTTCGACTAAAACAAAACGAAAGGCGAAGGAGTGAGGAGTGAGTGAGGTGAGGAATGAGTGAGGAGTGAGTGAGGTGAGGAGTGGTGTGAGGTGAGGAATGAGGAATGAGTGAGGAGTGAGTGAGTGAGTGAAGGAGTAAGTGAGTGAGAGAGTGAAGGAGTGAGTGAGTGAGTGAAGGACTGAGTGAGTGACTGAGTGAGTGAGTGACTGAGTGAGTGAGTGTGTGAGTGACTGAGTGAGTGAGTGACTGACTGAGTGAGTGACTGACTGAGTGAGTGACTGAGTCGTTGAAGGAGTGAGTGACTGACTGAGTGAGTGAGTGGCTGAGTGAGTTACTGAGTGTGTGACTGACTGAGTCGTTGAAGGAGTTGGTGAGTGAGTGGCTGAGTGACTGAGTGAGTGAAGGAGTCGGTGAAGGAGTTGGTGAAGGAGTCGGTGAAGGAGACATGCCGGGCTTCACGTACAAGTTGGCGGAGCGGCCTCGCCGCCGGATCGTCTGCCCCCTGTGCCACAAACCCATGCGAGAACCCGTCCAGATCTCAGCCTGTGGACACCGCTACTGTGACTCGTGTCTACAGCGATACCTCAGGTAAGGTTTAGTCACTCACTCAGTCACTCAGTCAGTCACTCAGTCAGTCACTCAGTCAGTCACCTAGTCAGTCACTCAGTCATTAAGGGTGGTGAGTGACTGGTGGCTACTGTGACTCGTGTCTACAGCGATACCTCATGTAAGGTTTAGTCACTCACTCAGTCACTCACTCAGTCACCTAGTCAGTCACTCACTCAGTCACCTAGTCAGTCACTCAGTCACTCAGTCACTCAGTCAGTCACTCAGTCAGTCACTCAGTCAGTCACTCACACACTCACTCAGTCACTCACTCAGTCACTCACACACTCAGTCAGTCACACACTCAGTCACCTAGTCAGTCACTCACTCAGTCACCTAGTCAGTCAGTCACTCACTCAGTCACTCAGTCATTAAGGGTGGTAAGTGACTGGTGGCTACTGTGACTCGTGTCTACAGCGATACCTCAGGTAAGGTGACTAAGTCACTCAGTCAGTCACTCAGTCAGTCACTCACTCAGTGATTCAGTCACTCACTCAGTCACTCAGTCAGTCACTCAGTCAGTCACTCATTCAATCAGTCACTCACACACTCAGTCAGTCACTCACACACTCAGTCAGTCACACACTCAGTCAGTCAGTCACTCACACACTCAGTCACTCACACACTCAGTCAGTCACACACTCAGTCACTCACTCAGTCACTCACTCAGTCAGTCACTCACTCAGTCACCTAGTCAGTCAGTCACTCAGTCACTCACTCAGTCACCTAGTCAGTCAGTCACTCACTCAGTCACTCAGTCATTAAGGGTGGTAAGTGACTGGTGGCTACTGTGACTCGTGCCTACAGTGATACCTCAGGTAAGGTGACTAAGTCACTCACTCAGTCACTCACTCAGTCAGTCATTCAGTCACTCAGTCATTCAGTCACTCACTCAGTCACTCACTCAGTCAGTCACTCACTCAGTCACCTAGTCAGTCAGTCACTCAGTCAGTCACTCAGTCACCTAGTCAGTCAGTCACTCACTCAGTCACTCAGTCATTAAGGGTGGTAAGTGACTGGTGGCTACTGTGACTCGTGTCTACAGCGATACCTCAGGTAAGGTGACTAAGTCACTCAGTCAGTCACTCAGTCAGTCACTCACTCAGTGATTCAGTCACTCAGTCAGTCACTCAGTCAGTCACTCAGTCACTCAGTCATTCAGTCACTCAGTCAGACAGTCACTCAGTCAGTCACTCAGTCATTCAGTCACTCAGTCAGACAGTCACTCACTCAGTCACTCAGTCACTCAGTCATTAAGGGTGGTGAGTGACTGGTGGCTACTGTGACTCGTGCCTACAGCGATACCTCAGGTAAGGTGACTAAGGTTTAGTCACTCACTCAGTCACTCAGTCATTCAGTCAGTCACTCAGTCACTCAGTCAGTCATTAAGGGTGGTGAGTGACTGGTGGCTACTGTGACTCGTGCCTACAGCGATACCTCAGATAACATTTAGTCACCCACTCAGTCACTCACTAAGTCATTCAGTCAGTCACTCACTCAGTCACTCACTCAGTCACTCAGTCATTCAGTCAGTCATTCAGTCACTCAGTCATTCACTCAGTCACTCACCCACTCAGTCACTCACACACTCAGTCACTCAGTCACCTAGTCAGTCAGATTGTCAGTCACTCACTCACCTAGTCAGTCACTCAGTCATTAAGGGTGGTGAGTGACTGGTGGCTACTGTGACTCATGCCTACAGCGATACCTCAGGTAAGGTGACTAAAGGTTTAGTCAGTCACTCACTCAGTCAGTCACTCAGTCAATCACTCACTCAGTCACTCACTCAGCCACTCAGTCAGTCACTCAGTCAGCGATACCTCAGGTAAGGTTTAGTCACTCACTCAGTCACTCACTCAGTCATTCAGTCACTCATTCAGTCAGTCACTCACTCAGCCACTCAGTCATTAAGGGTGGTGAGTGACTGGTGGCTACTGTGACTCGTGCCTACAGCGATACCTCAGGTAAGGTGACTAAAGTTTAGTCAGTCAGTCAGCCACTCACTCCGTCACTCAATCAGTCACTCAGTCAGTCACTCACTCAGTCACTCAGTCAGTCACTCAGTCAGTCATTTAGTCAGTCAGTCACTCAGTCAATCATTCAGTCACTCACTCAGTCATTCAGTCACTCAGTCAGTCACTCAGTCATTAAGGGTGGTGAGTGACTGGTGGCTACTGTGACTTGTGTCTCCAGCGATACCTCAGGTAAGGTTTAGTCACTCACTCAGTCACTCAGTCAGTCATTCACTCAGTCACTCAGTCAGTCATTTAGTCAGTCAGTCACTCAGTCACTCACTCAGTCATTTAGTCACTCAGTCATTCAGTCACTAAGTCATTCAGTCAGTCATTTAGTCACTCAGTCAGTCACTCAGTCATTAAGGGTGGTGAGTGACTGGTGGCTACTGTGACTCGTGTCTCCAGCGATACCTCAGGTAAGGTTTAGTCACTCACTCAGTCACTCAGTCAGTCATTCACTCAGTCACTCAGTCAGTCATTTAGTCAGTCAGTCACTCAGTCACTCACTCAGTCACTCAGTCAGACAGTCACTCACTCAGTCACTCAGTCACTCAGTCATTAAGGGTGGTGAGTGACTGGTGGCTACTGTGACTCGTGCCTACAGCGATACCTCAGGTAAGGTGACTAAGGTTTAGTCACTCACTCAGTCACTCAGTCATTCAGTCAGTCACTCAGTCAGTCATTAAGGGTGGTGAGTGACTGGTGGCTACTGTGACTCGTGCCTACAGCGATACCTCAGATAACATTTAGTCACCCACTCAGTCACTCACTAAGTCATTCAGTCAGTCACTCACTCAGTCACTCACTCAGTCACTCAGTCATTCAGTCAGTCATTCAGTCACTCAGTCATTCACTCAGTCACTCACCCACTCAGTCACTCACACACTCAGTCACTCAGTCACCTAGTCAGTCAGATTGTCAGTCACTCACTCACCTAGTCAGTCACTCAGTCATTAAGGGTGGTGAGTGACTGGTGGCTACTGTGACTCATGCCTACAGCGATACCTCAGGTAAGGTGACTAAAGGTTTAGTCAGTCACTCACTCAGTCAGTCACTCAGTCAATCACTCACTCAGTCACTCACTCAGCCACTCAGTCAGTCACTCAGTCAGCGATACCTCAGGTAAGGTTTAGTCACTCACTCAGTCACTCACTCAGTCATTCAGTCACTCATTCAGTCAGTCACTCACTCAGCCACTCAGTCATTAAGGGTGGTGAGTGACTGGTGGCTACTGTGACTCGTGCCTACAGCGATACCTCAGGTAAGGTGACTAAAGTTTAGTCAGTCAGTCAGCCACTCACTCCGTCACTCAATCAGTCACTCAGTCAGTCACTCACTCAGTCACTCAGTCAGTCACTCAGTCAGTCATTTAGTCAGTCAGTCACTCAGTCAATCATTCAGTCACTCACTCAGTCATTCAGTCACTCAGTCAGTCACTCAGTCATTAAGGGTGGTAAGTGACTGGTGGCTACTGTGACTTGTGTCTCCAGCGATACCTCAGGTAAGGTTTAGTCACTCACTCAGTCACTCAGTCAGTCATTCACTCAGTCACTCAGTCAGTCATTTAGTCAGTCAGTCACTCAGTCACTCACTCAGTCATTTAGTCACTCAGTCATTCAGTCACTAAGTCATTCAGTCAGTCATTTAGTCACTCAGTCAGTCACTCAGTCATTAAGGGTGGTGAGTGACTGGTGGCTACTGTGACTCGTGTCTCCAGCGATACCTCAGGTAAGGTTTAGTCACTCACTCAGTCACTCAGTCAGTCATTCACTCAGTCACTCAGTCAGTCATTTAGTCAGTCAGTCACTCAGTCACTCACTCAGTCACTCAGTCATTTAGTCACTCAGTCATTCAGTCACTCAGTCATTCAGTCAGTCATTTAGTCACTCAGTCAGTCACTCAGTCATTTAGTCACTCAGTCAGTCACTCAGTCAGTCATTTAGTCACTCAGTCAGTCACTCAGTCATTTAGTCACTCAGTAACTCAGTCAGTCACTCAGTCATTTAGTCATTAAGGGTGGTGAGTGACTGGTGGCTACTGTGACTCGCGCCTGCAGCGATACCTCAGGTAGGGTGACTGAAGTTTAGTCACTCGGTCAGTCACTCAGTCATTTAGTCAGTGAATCACTCAGTCATTTAGTCACTCAGTCACTCATTTAGTCAGTCACTCACTCAGTCATTTAGTCACTCATTTAGTCACTCAGTCACTCATTTAGTCACTCATTAAGGGTGGTGAGTGTGCGTTGATAATTACCTTAGGAGAGTGCATGGTGAGTGACGATCTCCTGCGTACCAGGCGAGGTAGTCAACATCTCACAGGGTCCGGGATCGAACCCACGACCTCCTGCGTACCAGGCGAGGTAGTCAACATCTCACAGGGTCTGGGATCCAACCCACAACCTCCTGTAGACCAGGCGAGGTAGTCAACATCTCACAGGGTCCGGGATCGAACCCACGACCTCCTGCGTACCTGGCGAGGTAGTCAACATCTCACAGGGTCCAGGATCGAACCCACGACCTCCTGCGTAACCAGGCGAGGTAGTCAACATCTCACAGGGTCCGGGATCGAACCCACGACCTCCTGCGTACCAGGCGAGGTAGTCAACATCTCACAGGGTCCGGGATCGAACCCACGACCTCCTGCGTACCAGGCGAGGCAGTCAACATCTCACAGGGTCCGGGATCGAACCCACGACCTCCTGCGTACCAGGCGAGGTAGTCAACATCTCACAGGGTCTGGGATCGAACCCACGACCTCCTGCGTACCAGGCGAGGTAGTCAACATCTCACAGGGTCCAGGATCGAACTCACAACCTCCTGTAGACCAGGCGAGGTAGTCAACATCTCACAGGGTCCGGGATCGAACCCACGAACCTCCTGCGTACCAGGCGAGGTAGTCAACATCGATTTGAGTTTGAAATCGATGCATCGCTCAGCCCTTTGAGGCAATCTCCCGGGTTGCTTGAGC